ATCAGTGCGAATAACGGAACGTATACAGGGTGTAACACAACCACGAGTGCCCATGGGGAGGAGGGCGAGAGGGTGACATGGCCAAAAAATAAAATAAAAACCGCGTATGCTTTGAATCCGTAAAAATAAACGTGATTTAAGTATTGTGATTCTTTTAAAATGATACATGTTAATTGCTATTTGTCAAAATGTTATTATTTAAAAACAAACGATCTAATTATCTACTAAATAATATTTAATGTAAACTATGTACAAACAGTAGAATATTATACGATGTCTTGATTTCAGCATTTAACAGTTTTTTTTTTTTTTTGAAAAGGTAATGTTTACATAATTACGTAATATTTTTTCCTATTTCCTTTTCAAGAAATACCAACCTAATGTCTATTTGCCATAAGTAGGTTTGGGGATCTAATTTTATTTCGGTCTCAACAAATAAAACAAATATATCACATGGAAACGGCTTTATTGGAGAGGCAGTTCTCGGCAGGGAGCCATATAAGGTGCTCCAGGTCGTCAACAAGCGAAACCCTTATAAAAAAATAGGAACATGGAATGCCAGAACAATGCTACAAACAGAAAAACTAGAAAATGTAAAAATTGAAATGAATAGACAAAATATAGAAATATTAGGTTTAAGTGAAACAAGATGGGGTGGAAATGGTGATTTTACATCAGATCAGTACAGAATAATACACTCAGGAAAACAAAAAGGATAAGCCGGAGTAGCAGTGGTATTCAACAGTAAATGGGCACAATCAGTTATCGGACAAGCCACAATTTCTGACAGATTAGTAATGGTGAAACTAAGATCATACCCAAATGAAACGATACTATTACAAGTATATATGCCTACATCAAATGACGACATCGGAGAAGTTGAAAAAGTTTACGAAGATATAGAAGAACTTTTAAAACTAACAAAACAGAAGGATATTCTTATCAAAATGGGTGATTTTAATGCAGTCATTGGTGGAGGATTAAATGGAAAAGAAGTTGGAAATTATGGATTAGGGAAAAGGAATGACAGAGGTGACCGACTACTGGAGTTTTGCAGACAACATGAGTTGGTTATCTTTAACACTTTATTCAATAATCATAAAAGAAGACGATACACTTGGAAGATGCCTGGAGATCTTGGAAGATACCAAATAGATTTTATACTGGTTAGGAATAGATTCAAAAATCAAGTCAAATCATGCAAAACATACCCAGGTGCGGATATTAACAGCGACCATAATCTTGTAATGATGAAATGTAACCTAAAATTCAAGAAAATAAAAAAACCAAATAAGAAATAGGTATATTAATAAAAATTATATGCTTTGCAGATGATATAGTTTTGCTCGCCACATCTGAAAACGATCTATAAACAGCATTTATTGAAATGGATAATATATTTCTAGAATTCAAATTAAATATAAATACGGAAAAAATAAAAATAATGATATGTAGCAAACAAAATGAATCAAACATTAACATATCAATAAAGGAAAAAGAATGGAACAAATAAATTAATTTAAATATTTGGGAAGTATAATAGATAATGAAGGAAGGTCAAAAAAGGAAATTAAAAGTAGAATAGGGCAAGCAAAAAAGGCATTTCTACTTAAGAGTAAATTACTAACTTCAAAAAATGTACATCAAAGAACGAGAAAACGTTTAATTAAAACATACGTATTGAGCACAGCATTATATGGTTGTGAAACATGGACGTTGAACAAAAAAGAGGAAACCGCTCTAGAAGCTTTTGAAATGTGGTGTTGGCGTAAAATGGAGAAAATAAAATGGACGGAATTGAAGACAAACGAAGAAGTATTAGATTTGGTCAGAGAAAAGAACATTGCTAAATAATTTAAGATCAAGACGATGGCATATGATAGGTCATTCGTTAAGACATAATGAAGAACACCATAGACTCATACTGGAAGGTATGATAGAAGGGAAACGCGGAAGAGGTAGGCCAAGAACATGTTACATAAGTCAATTAATTAAAGATGCAAGAGTCGATTCGTACAAACAACTCAAAGACAAAGCACAAGACAGAAAATCATGGAGAGAACATTTATTGTAGACCAATCTACGGATTGAATACTAAGAAAAAAAAAAAAATATTGAATTGAATGTGTAGATCAAGTTAGAAATAAGAAGGCATCGAATATGAATTGAATAATATGCGCTCTTAATATCGCCGAATGCTACTGCCATCAATTTCCGGTTATAAAAAGCATGGCAAATATTACTAGAAAAGTAAGCGAGGCACTCTATGGTACATGGATTGACCACAATGATAAGGAACGGGAAATAAGGTGGGAGTCGAATAATTCAACATGGACTAAATTAATATCCTGCTGAANACTTTTCTTGGATTCCGTCAATTCATTTTGAAGTACACTCAATTTCGAATGATAGATTAAGAACGGATCATTCGTTATCGAATCAATGTTTAATTCATGTTGACTATCCGTAACCTGATGAATTTTTTCCAAATTAGTATGGCAATAGGCAATTAAATCGGGCCCGATGGATTCCGCCTTCTTTCCTTGTTTCAATACCGAACCAACGTGATCTTTTATACTATCGAGATTATTAAACTTATTCGTATCTAAAATGTCCGTCAAACACCGATAGTAATCGTGGTTGATATTAACCAAGGACCTAATATTTTGCCACATTTGTTCACCCTCACCGTTAACCGTTTCGTCTAATTCAAGCGTGCCAGTTTTAAAATCAAAGTTTTCCGAGACCGACTTGTGATCCGGTACTTGAGCGGATTTTTCAGTATCATTCCCTTCGTACATTTTAACATTCAATACTCCGAACACGTGATTTTTGACCTAAATAAAATATTTTATTTTGTTAGTAAAATAAATTTAGAAAACAATATAATAGCTAAATTTTTTTTTGTATATTTATATTAGCTAAACCGGCAATGCTTTGTTATGACTAGATAATAGTGTAATTAATAATAACAGTAGTTTTCTTGTCTGTGACAACCAAAGTATTATCTGATTCACCAAGCATAGATGATTAAACGTTCAGAAATTAATCACAAATTACGCATTTAAAGAAGTCGTCCTTGGAAAACGGGGGACGAGTACAGGCACTATTATATAGGAAATTTAATGTATACTTGTAAACAACGATAAACCATTGCTAACGAAAAACGATTCTGATCGAAGTTAAATCTATAGTGATACTTTGTCAACAATATGTATGTTATGATAAAATAATTAAATAGACATTAAATAATATCTTGAATATTATTTATTCAATGTACCGATTTTCCCGTTTTTCCTACGGTTTTTCACATTTGCTGGGAAAAATCTTGAGCAAACTAAAAACTGACCTACTTAAAATATATTTTAAAAGTCATCCATTATTAGCATACATTTAATTCTATTAAACATTCCATAAATATACGGACTATTACTTTAAAGAAATGTCGGTGTTACAATTTTTAAAATCAAAACTTAAAAATGGAATATTTCGTTAACGGGTTAACGGAGATCAAAAATGATGACATCAAAATTTATTTAAAGTCATACGCCGTCCATTAATGAAATGTTTAATATAGGCTCTTATTTGATAAACCAAAGTTGGTATTACCACTGGAGGATATTCCTTAAATGTTGTGAAAAATCTAAGTATTCGAATACATGCAAAATTTAACCAAAAAATTTGGGTTAACACGCTTAGTGAATCACTCTGTACATAAGAAAAATATATGGTGTATCCTACCGAAACAAATAGTAATATTGAGAATATAATATATTACCACGTTTTCGACTTTATCGACCCGTTGCGTATCGCCTTCCATGTTCCTGCAACAATCGTTGTACGACGTATTCAAGTTTTCGCAAGCAATAGCGAACGATTTCTTTTTGACGTCAAAGTTGGTTACTTTCGAGTTCATCAATTGGTCTTGGAACGACTTATGTTTTTCGATCAAAGCCTTTACGGAGGGTCGGCTGTTTTCGATTTCTTTTTCAGTGTCGGTGACACAACTTTTAAAAGATGCCATTGAATGGTCGGATTTGTCTAATATACGTGACGTTACATCCATGCATGGCACTGATTTCGAGTTTCCCATTGATTGATTTTGCGACATAGTTGTTATTTATTACAGTGGATTACTGTGGTTAATTTATTTTTTGATATTATTGAAACAATTGTTCACGTGATTTTTATAAAAAAATTTCAATGCATATGTTATAAAAATAAGTAAACTCAGTGTTCAAATTTCAATCTCTAATAAATATAAATAATATATTATTGTCGATTGAATGTTTGTTTTAACAATG